GTCGCTGGCAACTGATCTGGGGAAGAAAAGCACGTGGAAGGCAGGAGGTGGGGCGGGGGGGGGGTCAGGGGCTGATAGCAGGGAATCTGTGTTGTATTAACGATTTAATTACGACAAACAGGTACTTTACATCTCGAGAGCGAAAACTTATATTTCAGCTTCGTTATTTAATCTGCAATTTTTTTTTCTGTGAACCTATGCATAATTGACTTATTATCATTATCGTGTTGTTCAGCTGTAATTTTCAACAAATACGTTGAAATAATGTTGCTATTGCAAGATGTTGAAGTGACCGAATTCAGACGCCCTACGGATATCCCATAAACATGTTTACCCCGAAAATAATCATATTTGACACTTTCTAGTCATTTGGTCCGTACGGAATGGTCAACTGAGAGGAGGAAATTCGAAAGAAAACTAGATTAATACCCTACAGATTTTATCTTGAACATCTGTAAGTGGTATTTACGTCTCCCTCCTTTACATATAAATTAGTATGGTAAAAATATGATCCAAAACCTCATAAGAAAAACAGGGTGTCATTTCAGCTTTTGCTGGGGGGGGGGGGGGTGTCGGCGAGTGCAGTGATAGCATGGAACAGTTAGCTGGGGATTTTTTTTTGGGGGGGGTGTCGGCGAGTGCAGTGATAGCATGGAACAGTTAGCTGGGGATTTTTTTTTTTTTTTTTTTTGGGGGGGGCGGGGGCGGCACGGTGAATAACACTCAATAGACTATAAACAAGATCATTTTGGATTAATGATAAGTCTATATTAACTAAATGTTCTGGTGTATTTCAAGTTTATATGTATAACATTTTTGGCATTGGTATCCACGGATAATATATATAGATTTATTCATATGTTGCTGTTGCAGTTCTACTACCACTAGTTGCAGTACAGTTTTATTGAAAAAGAGTGAGTGCCGTGATGCTGGTGATACTGATGTGATCACAATACACACATGTTTCGAAGCAAGCATCTGTTCTTGAACCCTTTGGTTAAGAGGTAAATGTAGAATTATTGTATATACATATACAGTAGTAAGATATATACAGATCGATGATAACCAGGGGCGTCAATTGCGTTAGGGGGGGGGCAATAGTTGTACCATTCTGTTCTGCTTTGAATGTCTGTAATCAAATTCAATTAACTCTAAAAGTTGTTCGGGTGTCGCCCTTGGAGAGGGGGGGGGGTAGAAATTGAGTGGGGCAAACAGTCTTGAAGGGGGCTCGTCTTCCTGGCAGTCTTACTTGCTACAGGTGTGGGGCGTGTTGGCGATGGATGCGGAACATCGTCATGAAGCCAGCTACGTCTCTCCTGTGTTGAACGCTCTCGAGGTTCTCTCTCTCTCTCTATTCCTCTTCCTCTCTTCTCGCTCATTTCCTCTCCACCCTTTCTTTCTCTCCCTTCTTCTCTCTTACCCCCCACCCCCTCTCACTCTCTCTCTCTTTTATCTCTTCTTCTGTCTTAAAATGTCCCTTCCATGTTTCAGTAAATATTTTATATATTACCTATTTTCACTTTTAGGTCTTAAAGGTTCTTATCTAAAAGGGGAAAACAAGGCTGGCAATGCAAATGTTATTAATTGTTGGCTAACGCTATCCGGCTCAGTCGTAATGATGGTAATCGATCTCAGATGTACAGGCGGCAGCTGTCCTACTGCCCGTACTATCTTTTTAGATAAGACAAATCGCCGCTGTGTCCTGATGCTGCTCAAATTATTTAGACAAGCAATTTATTATCAGCGTTATGGCCTTAAGTCATGCGTATCAGTACCTTCTAATACATATAACCTAAAGTTTTAAATACGGCCTACCATGGACGCAGCCAACTACTCTTGCCCTCTTTTTCCCCCACGTAAAATCTTCAAGACTAATGACATTTTCACGGTCACGGTTAGCTATACCAGTTCTATTACGCGTCCACTTAAATAGGCATCTCTCCTTCTCCCTTTCTTTTACCGTGGTCCATATCAGGCAGGGCTTTCCCGTTTCTACCAACATTCAAACTTACCAAGTAGTTCTGTAACCTCTTCTCGGAGGAGGGCAAATCGTACATCTGATTTATTCTTCTGAGACCCTGGCTGTTGAAGAACATTTTGCAACTTGAGACGATTCAGGTTGCCACCTCACCCAACACGACCTTCCTTACACCCTAGTCCTTCTACTGCTTCCCCTTCTGCAGACCTTATGAGTACTATTTTTAGTCCAGCCAAGAGGGTCGAAACTTTGATCGCGTCTAACATCAAAAGTATTCAAGGCAGAAACCCCCATTTCCACGAAAAGATCCCGCTCTCCTGGTTTTTCTTAGACGTGCATGTAAACCGTTAACTTCCCTCCGCAACTCCACCCAATAGGTTAGTTGTTTGGAAAAGCAACGAACCTTTGATTTCTGTAGGGTGTGCGCAGCTACAGTTTGTACTTCACTGAATTTAGTGTTATGCCTTAGATTATAACAATTTAGTTAAGAAGTCACCGTCATTTTTTTACGTTGACAAGCTA